AGCGATCCTTTGGGTCTTTTCGATCACGATGCTGTGTTTTTGGAGGCCCAGTGTCCTCCAAAGATCTCACCTCGCGTGAGTTCAAAAAGGGCCTCGGGCTGCGTACGGGCTACGGACGCCCAAGTGGCGGCAAGTAAAATCCTTGCATGATGCCTGCTGCGCCAATGGGTTTGCCGCCAGCCTTGATTTTAGCAAGTGTTGTGGCCTTATGAGACCTCAGGCATGTGCCCAGCTGTTGGAGGCGACAGGGTGGGACCCCTCGATGTCTCGCCTGGTTGGGTACATGTGGCTTCACCACACCCGCTGGTGTGTTTGGAAATCTCACGTGCAGGAGACAAGGAGACCCGCTCGGTTCTATCATGGCTAGTTTGTACTTGACTGCTGGTTTGCGATGGGTTTCCAAACAAACTGGGGTTGATGGCTCCCCTACCCAAACGTATATTGACGATCATACCATTACTGCTTCTAGTCATGTTGAGGCCTGGGAGAAATGGTCTCTCTCCGTGGGACCTCTCGAAAACAAAAAGAAGCTTCAGGTCACAGCCAAGAACGCTCGTGGCTTCTGGAGTTTTTTTGACTTCTATAGCCGTCGGAAAACGTGCTCTTTGGAAAGTGAGCGGCTGGATAAAGCCCATGTTGTGGATTTTGTCAGTTCTCAGGCTTCTTGCCTCAGTTTTTTTACCATTACTCTCGGGTTTTCATTGTCAGTTCGTTTTCCTATGGTTGGTTGGGTGTATAATGTATAAGTTACCCAGCCTTACAGAAAGCCGATCTCTCTGGAAGGCATTGAAACACGAAGCTTGCGCAACGCCCCAAATGAATGGTCTAGGGCGGTCATTTTTTGTGGTTTGAGCCGTTGCTGCCACTCATCTTCTCCGAATTAATTTTCAATTACTAAACTGGAAGGTCGTGGGATCGGCCTGGGGGCACTCCGATTCATGCCCTGGCCAGCAAAGCTCGACATGATTTGCGCGAGTGTTTCTCCTAACTAATCGCCGAGAAGTTCGGGACTGCAGTCAGGTCTCTCTTTCTGCCTTTCAGGAGGTCTCTTGGAAAAAAGTTCATGGCGTCTGTAGTGACCCGGCTGCACGCGCAGTCGGCCGTGAGTCCGGCGGCTTTAAAGCAGAAGCCGTCCAGTGAGACAAAGTGAGCTTGGTGCACTGAGGGTCCGGCAACTTGGCACCACGTGGCTTGGGTTTGTCCTTCTTCCCCGTTCTTGAGGGCATTGCGGGTCGGTTTGGCTGGGGTGCAGGTTTGAATATTTTGCGCTATTTAGCCAAGGTCCAACAATCCTGGTGGGAAAACTGAGGTGTTTTACTTGTTGGTGGTGACGGGAATCCTTTTTTAACTGTGTTTTGCTGAATGTTTCTAGGGAGGTCTGATGTCAGGGTTCTTTGCAGGGCTGGCAGCTTGGCACCTGTGCTACTGAACTCTGCACCAAACCTGATGATAAGGATGGACATTGGTAGGTACGATGGCCTCGTGATTGTGATTTGTTTTTTGCAAGAAATCTGGTTGGCAAAAATGTTTGTCCAAGAGATTGTGGTGGGGTCTTTAATCCCAGCGCGATTTTGGTTGACTACGTTTGTCAGCAATGAACTCCTTCGCGATTTTGGTTGACGAACATTTTTGGTCAACAAAAACCTGTCGTGATTTTGTTTGACGAAAACTTTTGTCAACAAATCCACATTGTGATTGTTTTACGAACATTTTGTCAACAAAAGCCCGTCGCGATTTTAGGTTGATTGCTTTTTTTCAACAAAACCCGTCGCGCATCCGGCTGCCAATATTTGTCTAGCAGTCTAGCAAAACCGATTGAATTGATAACTGTAAAGAGGGCCGGGGACCGAATCCGAGATTCTCTGTGGACCAGTATTGAGTACGGCTTCTATCTGTGTTAAGAAATATTCTTAAACAAGAAAGTAGACTCTATTTTTTCGGAAAAATAAGTTACTTCTAGACTCTATTTTTGTCAAAAAAGCACGTTTTCTTCTAAATACGTATTAAGTTCTAATTTGAAGGGCCCTGCCACAAAGAGAAAGAAAGAGAGAGAGAGAGAAAGAGAAAGAGCGCGCCCCTTTAATGACAAACTTGACATCATCTATGACCCCTTTCCATGATACGTACGTAGAGCAAAAGCTTCAGTTTGCTTAAATCTGTTTCAAAAAACTGTCCCCAACCTGTCCTCTCGGTGGTCTGAAACTGGTCTGAAACCCTTTAGAAGTCCCATGGCAGCCTTCAACTTTGAGCCTCCCTCCCTCCCTCCCTCCTTCCCTCCCCTCATCTCAGATTCTTGAGCATTGTACCATGATAGAACATTATACAACATCCGTGGTGCCACTTTGCTTCCAAAAAAGTTCAGAACTTACATTTTTGGTTCAAAAACCTGAAGTTCCGAACCGTCAGCACAAAACGCATGTGGAGCTGCAAAGTGATATGGTCATTGATGGTCATCGGAAGTTATTGGAGAACATGGAGTGGATGCATGAAGAGGCCGCAATTAGGTACTATTGGACGCACAAATTACGACCATAATGGTACCGAATTAAAAGCGAGCCTTCATTATCCTGTAAACCCCCGTACGTATCTCACTTACAGACCCCACATGGAATGCCGCGGCACAAGGGCTGCATAATTTAATCTTGCGATCAAACATCCGCTTTTAGACAATGACCCTTGGATCTCCAGGGTGCAGGTGTAAAATGACAAACTTGACATCATCTATGACCCCTTTCCATGATACGTACGTAGAGCAAAAGCTTCAGTTTGCTTAAATCTGTTTCAAAAAACTATCCCCAACCTGTCCTCTCGGGTGGTCTGAAACAGGTCTGAAACCCTTTAGAAGTCCCATCGCAGCCTTCAACTTTGAGCCTCCCTCCCTCCTTCCCTCCCTCCCTCCCCTCATCTCAGATTCTTGAGCATTGTACCATGATAGAACATTATACAACATCCGTGGTGCCACTTTGCTTCCAAAAAGGTTCAGAACTTACATTTTTGGTTCAAAAACCTGAAGTTCCGAACCGT